GGGAGTCATGAATAATATCAGATTATTAGAAAAATCTGTACTTTTTCTCAACTCTTTCAGACCGCTTTACTCACATTCATATCGATGACAGCTGTTTGCGCTATATTCATGCGAAACTTGTGCGCAGTTGTTACGGCAAGCTTGGCCATAGCGTCCATAAGTACAGGTACAGTTACTGATTATGCTATTGTTAATACAATGGAAAATGTTAGTGTTTAAGGTGTCATTGGGACAATGTCGAAATTGAAATTTGAGCTTGATCCTATTGTAATGGCTTCCTTATTGATGACAATTGGAATGAGTGTAGACTACGTGGCTCATGTAGCATATCATTACCAGGTATCTACTTGGTGTCCCAGAAAATATGCCTTGTTTGATCGCTTACACCTTCTTTATTTTTGAACCCAGGTTTTATATCTTTGGCGATTGCGGTAAAATTAGTGTACTGTAAATTACAGTGGCTTTAGTAGTCCTGTTTAGTATTGTCGAACTCAATTTGATGATCCAGCTTGACTAGAACTTCGTGGTATTTCTGGAACTATCTTCGTTACAATAACAGTAGTGTAGGGTTGAACAAATTTATACCGTAGTCATACTGCATTGAATAGAGTTAAAGAGTCGTTTAAAAAGAAAAGAAACAGCCCTTGAATTGAATCACTGAAATCTAAAAAAGGCTTAGAAATTCAAGATTTCTTTATGATCAAACAGTAGGCATATTTTTGAGACATCATCCTCTTCGTGTTAAAACGTAAAATAATCGCTTTTTCAGCTGCGTTACTACACTAAGCGGCTTGAAGGAAATTCAGTGCGAGTAGAATTCGCGGATGCAGAAGAAAAACTTGAGTATACCATGAATACCGTAGCTTGGCCAATGATTCAGGCTGGGCTATCCACAGTATCGTGCGTGTTGCCTCTTCTCTTTATAGCAGTAAGTATAGCACTTTATATGCTTCAAATAAGAGAGAAATAGAACATTACAGACTTACTCGTCAGTAGTTTTTGTTACTGCTATACTCTTAGTAGTATTATACGGTGCATTACATGGCTTAGTCGTAAGTTTAACACCAAAGTCGTTCAGAAAGGGCGAGAATCTCAATTTTTGATTTGTTAAGATTTTGCCTGCATTTCTTTCACTGTTGCCAGACTATCTTGTTAACAATGAATGTTGCAAGAAGAAATTAGTTGAAGAGGATGTTCATATGTCTGAAGAAAGTGACAGCAAAT